CTTCACAAAATTTACTATGATCTTTATGACCAAAAAAGATCACAGGAAAATCATTGAAGTAATCACAAAAACAGGATGTCGATACAACTGAAACAACTAGCCAGACTGCCAACAACAGGATACGCGAATTTCAACCTTAGAAAATCCCCAATGAGTCCAAAAATCTGATTTTGGCATCCAGTCTCACGGCTCGAATAGGAAAGGAAACTATGCCGAATGACATCATAATTCATTCTTATAGAGGAAGTAGTACTGAAGAGAACATCGAAGTTTTGAAAAAGTTTTCATCAACATAACTTAAATGTGTTATCGTCCAGGATTGCACTAATTTCATCTTGAAGTCAAAATATGATAAAATGAATGAGTTTGCATTGAACACCAGAAACTGATTGATGTTACTAAAAAAAGTTAACGCCTGAACTGATTGTAGTGAGCGAGTTACCTCCAATTTTAAGCAACGCGAGGAGGCAAATTTTAAGGTTGAATTATATAATGATTACTTAAGCGATACTTACATAAGTGAAACAGCTTCTCGTGTGCTTAAACTCAACGCTATGATTAGAAAAATCAGTAACTGGAGCTTTCTATATTGGCACAATACTCATCTTAATGATGATCATGGTGTACCCTTTCTGTGCAATTGCCTTTGTACCATTAAATGCCAATAATCGATCGAACAACCTTTGGTGACCTGAAGCTGTAAAAAATTATAAGAAATGCACCCAAAATAGATCCACTTATCGCAACCACTCTTACTCTCGGACCCGTATTTACCATCAAAACTATAACGCGCAAATTAAATCACCATATAGTCTTGTGCAGGGCCATTGTAGATACTAATTTAGATGGTTTCCCTAAATAAGTCTGGCATTTAAATTTCATTAAAAAGAATCTGTTGTTAACCTTATCTAGTGTTTCTGTAATCCTTTATTGGGAAACCGAACAACTAGTAACCTAACAAATTTTGAATTAAAAAAATCATAGAACTTTTTTTCCATGGGTTGCCAAATTTGTTCTAATAAATATTATTAAGCACCTCTCAAGTGCACTGTCATTTAAAAACTACTAGTGCCTCTCAAGCGCGCTATTTGTAACTATTTTTAACTGAGTTTATACTTAAACATTTTAACATTAATTTGAAGCCAACATCAACTGAATTTTACAGCGCCTTTTCTAGATCAAAGCAAAACCTAATTGTTAATTTAGTTGATGTTTACCCAAATCCGGGTCCAGTACAAAACTATAATAGCATCACAAAAAAAAATATTGAACTACAAAAACAACATGAAAGATTTACATTTAAACTGTAGAAGCTTAGCAAGGAAACATTCAGATCTGAGAACAATTGGCGAAAACACAATTTTCAGCTTTTCGGAAATTTGGTTCAGTGAGTCAAACATCCTACGTCTGTGGACTCTTGATAGTACAAAATATGTTGCTTTTTGGTGCAGCATGTCTGGGGAAGCCAGCAAAAAATCAACCGTCTGACATTCCAGCATGGGAAATAAGAGACGTTTGCAATAAGATATACGCACATCTTACATTCCTTTTCTTTGGATATATAAAAAATATTAATTTTCACAATAAGCTTAAGAAAGCCATTATTTGCAACAATACACAAAAAGACGAACCAGAACTAACAGAAATCTACAGACCAATTTCAATAACAGGTGCTTTAGCAAAAGAAATCGATAAATGTTTAAACAAACAAATAGATGATTATCTTTTATCGCAAAATCTGCTAAGCAACACCCAATTTGGTTCAGAAACTCCTATTCAACAATTGAAACTGTTTTATTTTCCCCCACACTTTTCAGAATGTCAATTGATTGCAATAATTTTTTTGCTTGCTCATTGTTAGATCTTTACAAAGCATTCGAAAATCAAAATGCTTTTTAAGCACACTATTTTTAGCATCAAGCCTTTGCAAAACCATGAAAACAAAAACTTTTTGATAACATTAGACCGAAACATCATTGAAGAAAAACCCAAAATCAAATTGGAAGAACGGGTGTCGACAGTTTATCAAAAGAACTAAGGTTGTTTTATTCACTCACGCGAAAGCAAGTTATAAGCTACATTATCTGAGTTTTCAACACTCCGTACAAATAAGGGTATAAATCGGTCACAATCATTGTGTGTTACAGTTTCGACAAGCTAAATGAAGGCTCCATTCGATCATATGAAAACACAGCGGAGGAAGGCACCAAAGAATGCCATTAATGAGAATTTCATTTAACTCGTCATTGAATCTACTTTCAGTTGAATGATGAAGTCGATTCGAAACTAGACTACACTCAGTATTTTCTCTGGCAAAAATTAGGGAATACAGAGTCAGTGCCAAAACTCTTTTCAACCATTTCATTTAAATGGTGCAGATGCTGCCTCTGTTTCCTTCAAAAAGCAAAGGTCAACCTATTGGGATCAGCTGTCAAAAAAAGGGACAGTAACATTGCAGTTTATGTTTGTTTTCGCTTTAATCATTTGAAACGTAAATATGGCCGAGATTTGCTATATTCCGAAACTGGTGGTTTCATATAAAAGAAAATTGCCAAGGGTCGTTGTATACAAATTTTTGAAAAAACTGGTATTTCAGTTCCTTTTTTTGAAACTACCCTACCAATTAGCCGATGTCTAGTAACCATAATAAGAAAACAATGTGTAAAGATAAGACAAGATGGCTGGGAAAACATTCGGGGAGTTGGAAGTTTCGAAGCCAAAGATATAATAACTCGAAACAAAAAACATTTGTTCTCAATCATCATTTATCAAATTAATCCAAATCTAAAAGCGATGCACGAAAAACTTATTTTCGTAAAGCACGAGAGGAAGAAGACGAGGAGGAGGGTGATAAAATTGGGTCGGAATGCAGTTACAAAAGATAAGCTATTTCGAAAGAGATAAATTAACAACAAAACTTTTAAAATCAAACTTTTTTATGTTTGCTCACTTGAATCATAATATTGTTTTGTAATTTATCGCTATAAACTTGATTTTAAAAAAGTAATTGACGCCCATTGAATTTTGAAACGATTATGAGTGCGGATTTTTTGCGAAATAAGAACAACTCGCGTATTGAAACTATCAAAAATTATTAGAGAAGCTTTGACAACTGCTCTGCAGTCGATTGTTAGGTGGGCTTAGAACCAAAATAAACAACAAAAACTAATCTTTTACGGCGTCACTTTGTCAAACAACTGTTCAATTGCCCCGTTTGACCTCCATATACAAACAAATGCTAACCATAAAATTTCAAAAAGTAAACTAATTCTGTAAAAAATACTTCTCATACAATTTTCATACATTTTGCTGAAAGGTATCATCGAATTCTCGAAGAACTTTTTCTTGCTTTGGCATAAAAATCGGTGTCTCGTACTAAATAAAACAGAAAACATTTTGTCAAAAGAAGCTAATCATCTAATTTTCATGTTTGGAAAGTGTATGACTAGCATTTTTTTGATGACAACAACAAAAATTTTTCGTAATTTCAAATTTTCAAAAGTTTTTTTCAACCGCAAATCGAATTTTGCTCTCAAACTAACAATTCTAAAAAAACTGTGTGTTCATAACATAGTCCTGGATACACAAAACTGAAATTTTTTTTCCGTTTTTCTGGATAAACTTTTTCTAAACACGCTAAAAACTCTTAATTTTTTTGTATTTTGTACCGCATAGTTATGTATGCCTTGATTAATGTCTGATAATTTTGAAAATAAACAACTGTGAAATTTTCTGCCAAAATCGAAAAGTTTGATGATTTCAACATATGATCTGTATTCGAAGGCCTTTATACAATTCAGGTCGTTTCCCATGCCTTGTAAATCTGAGACGATCGAAACTTTAGCGACTTTAGCTTAGAGTAATGCATGGTTTCTGTCACTCGTGTTTGGTCACAAACACATCTGAAAAATTTGAGTTTTAAAATTAAAATCATTTTTTTTTTGTGTTTTACGGAAAAATGCTAGTCATACAATTTCGATGATCGAAAAATCACTAAATAAAGACTTTTCATGCAATTTTCTGTACTTATGAAATGGCATGAAAAGTGTAAAATTAGCGTTTTTCCGTCCATGAAAGTTGTATGACTAGCATTTTTGATCACGCCGAGTAGCATTTTGCTGCAGTCATTCTTCATTAAAAAATCCTACTACCAACTTACTCAGCAAAATCCTAATTTCGCCTCTAAAGATTCTTAGTTACAAAATTTTTGTTCCGATCAGTGAAAATGAGGAGGAACTTTGCATTCGGGTGTGTTTTGATTTTTTCTTTTTGTTTTCCACGTAAAATCAGGTACCACAAATAATCATTGGACTGGTTTGAGTGATATATATCATATTAAAACTTTTCATTCGTGATTCGAACCACATTTAAAATTTCCGAATATTCTTTTTCTGGTGTCGAGAAAAACGTGCTTGAAACTTTTGGTTCTTCGTCCTAACTTGAGCGAATAAAGCAGGCAAGCAGGCTTACAACAGCTTAATTAGGAGAAATTTAATATTTAAAAAATTAATTAGTAAATATAATTTTTGGAGTTATGTAGCTTCATTTTGGGAACTAAGATTTTCAAAAAGTGGGAAAATTATCTGCCAAAAATTTGAAACGAAAAATTCATAACGAGGCCAAACTGTGCGCTGGATAGGCGCTCAAATTTGTGTGTGTGTGTGTTGCTGGATTCCAGAGACAAGTATTTAAATGTTATATTTTTGTCGGAACGATCAATGAAATGAAAGAACAAATGAAGAAAAAATTTTCTATTTTTTTTTTAAATTTCCTTGTCATCTTTCTACAAAGACTCTTGATCGTTTTGCCTAATTTAACATAATTGCCCTGAAACATATTTTTGCGTCAGATCTTTTTATCACTCCAAGCAGAAAAAACTACTTTTATTTGAAAAAAACTGTAGTTTTTTAAAGATTATGGTTGGAACATTCTGTCATACTTGCACAGTAACCAGCTATCCTTGGTTAGGTTTTGAAGACTTATGTGACTTTCTGTGGTAGGAGATACGGAGACAAAAAATTACCCGGCTGGAGTTCACATTAAAAATTAGCAATAAAGAAGAGAGAAAAACAGCGATTGTCCCTGATCAATTACCGATGCTCATTGCCAAAATAGTAAGTTTTGTCAAAAATTTATTGCTAAATATTCAGCGATGTGAGCTACAAAAATAGTGAGCTACAGAGGGTTCGATCTCGCAACCATCAGCTTTCATTGGACATGTATGCTACCTCTGCCCCACGAACTCTAAGATATATTGAAAGTTTAGGGTTTATCAACTTGCACTCCCATTTGAAAGCTTCCTGAGTTTCTCAAGTTTTAGTGCTATATTTCTACCGAACCTTTACTGAAATCAATCTGAAAGATCGCAGGCTTAGCTATGCAAAAAACTCTGAATTAGACATGAATCGATGCTGGAAAAAAATGATCAGTGATAATACAGAAAAAGCGATAATTAGCGGTGGGACTTCAACCCGGGCAGGCTTTTGATTAAATTCAGAACAAAACTAAATTTTTTATGCATCTCAAATTTAAAACATTTGATGCAAAAAGTGAAGAATAAGCCTAAAAGTTTTTGGTGATTGGACATTATGATTGACAATTATACAGATTTGAAACTAGAGACATGTGTTGTGGAAAGTACAATTTCGAAATGGAACAAAATTTTGAAAAATAATTGATTAAAATTGATAATAACAGACTAAAATTGTATACAATTTAGCAAAATATCCATCATAATCGATTCATAATTAGTTTCGATCAAATAAAATGTTAATTTTTGCTGCATTTTTTTCTTTTTCAACCCAATCTATTCACTTTCAATTAGCCCGGGTTGACCTCCATACACCGAAAATGCTTATCATACAATTCCATACATCAAGTGTGTGGGAAAATGCTTGTCATACAATTTTCATACAATTTCTAAAAATGGTTGAAAACTGGTATAAACTCTTTTCTGTGGCTGTTTGATTCTAATAAAACAATCTGGTGATAAAAAACTGAGGTTTTCGTTTTTTGAAAAAAATGCTTATCACACAATTCCCATATATGGAAATTGTATGACTGGCATTTTTTTGATGGCGACACAAAAAATTTTACAAGCAATTTTGAAAATTTGGCCCAAAAATTTTTTGTTTTTTTTCAACCGCAAATCGATTTTCGTACGCAAACAAACATTTTTAGAAAAAAAAATTTTGCATGCAAAATTTAATACTTTGTGTGCATAACGTAGTCCTGGATACGATAAAATTGGCTTTGACTTTCTTTTCGCTTATTTTTTTTCAAAAACGCTGAAAATTCCTTTTTCTTTTGTATGGGGTGTTAATGTACGCCTTGATCAATGTCTGATAATTTGAAAATTCAAAAATTTAATATAATCATCATTAATAAATTTTGCCAAAAAATAAAAGTTTGCTACTTTTGTTATATGAATTGTGAAAGTCAGCTAACTTCAGGTCGTTTTCTATGCATTGTAAATGCAAGACCGTCCAACCTGTGGTGTTTTGAGTAACCAAGGTATATGTCACTTGTGTTCGGTTGCAACTGCAACCGAACTTTTTTCAGAAACTAAATTTAGAAAGAAAAAATCAAAATTTTTGGTTTATGGGAAAACATCTATCATACAATTTTCATATATGGAAAAATGCTTATCATAGAGTTTTCATACAATTTTCTGTACGTATGGAATTGTATGACAAGAAGTTTCTCATATATGGAATTTATATGATAAGAAGTTTTGGTCATCCCGGGAGATCAGTTTAACTTGGACTGACAATAAACATCAACAAAAATTGATTATAAGTCATGCACTTTTGTTGCAAGGAAAAACGAATCCATCAAATTTGCTTTCAATTTTGCAGTACTGAAGAAGTTTTCAAGGTTAATTTCAAGCGCTAATTTAAGTTACTCAAACTCTAGTTTAAGTCTCTAGCTTGCTCAAAACCTAGCTATTGTATCCATTTTCAGTGTTTTCCTATTGAAGATAATTATGTTTTATCGAGTGCCATTTTTTGAACATGGTTGAAATTGAATTTTTATTATAAGCTTATAATTAAGTAAGCAAAATTTTCTTTATCAATTTCGTGGTCATTTATTTTGATGTTTAGCAGAACTAACGATGTTTTTCATGGGTGCGATGTCTACTTCATTTCCCTGGCTGATTAAGGCAGACCCGAAAAACCACCTTCAATTCCTCATTTACAAATTTCTATGGGAAATTTATTTGGTACGTATATTGAAGATTTTCAATGTTAAAGTATCCTTGATTATAGACGAAAAGCATCCAAAAACATCGGATAAAGAGAATTATCTGAAATGTATGTTTACCTTTTTTTACCTAATTTCGTTTCGATCCGAAACTGTGCTATGGCTACGATCACTGTGTCAAATAGCTCTACTTTTTTTTATTCAAGTTCGTTCAAACATCAATTGTCAATCATCTGTCCATCTATCGGTGCTAAATTGATTCCGGAAGTTACCGGCCTTCGGTGCAGTCTACCGCTTTTGGATAACTTCTAGAACAAAACTCTTACTAAACCTATTAAGAATAGTAGTAAAATTGCCACATAATCGCCATTTATTGGTCCCGCTGGTATCATTCGTTCCTCCGGACGGATCAAGCGCTTGGTGAATACCGAGTTTGATACTAAGCACCCAATATTACTCGACGCCCGACATACCCTAGTTCGTTTGTTGGCCTGCAGCCTCCACCACAAGCATTTTCATCAAGGTTTAGATACATGCACTCCGTTTTAAATACGAAAAATGCAATACTTGGGTTGCTTCGACTAATTCGGTCTATCGAAAATAATTGTGTAACGTGCCGTAAACGCAAAGCAAGCACCATCCAGCCTATTATGTCCGATTTACCTGTCGAACGTCTCGGATACACGCAACCACCCTTTAATCATACGGATGTGGATTATTTTGGACCGCTTTACGTTCCGGTTTGCAGAAGCTCTGAAAAAAGATGGGGATTTCATTTCACTTGCCTTACCACCAGGGCTGTACACCTTGAGATTGTACCATCTCTGGACACCAGTTCTTGCGTCATGTGCATTGAACAGTTCATTGCGCGTCGTGGTACACCAAGCGCAATCTGGTCGGATAACGGCACGAACTTCGTTGGTGCGCAGAAGGAACTACTTGCCTGCATCAAGAGCTGGAATGGCATGGCTCCGACCATTTTTGCACACAAAGGTGTTACTTGGAAACTTAACCCGCCAGGCGCACCCCATCATGGCGGCTCCTGGGAGCGTCTCGTCCGAAGCGTGAAACGCGTGCTTTACGACATACTAGGCAGTAGGGAGTCACCCAAGTGGTGTTAGGAACAACACTCTGCCTAGTTGAGCAGGCTTTGAATTCGAGGCCAATCACTCCCGTTAGTACTGATTCACGTGAGTTAGAAGCGTTTACCTCAAGGTACGTGCGAGCGCAGTTTATGCTAACGCGATTTGGTCTCGTTGGCTTCGCGAATATGTTCCCTCACTGAATAAGCGTGTCAAGTGGCACACTCATTCTGACTCCACTCTTAAGACAGGCGATCTCGTCTGGGTGATTGAGCCCGATAGTCCGCGTGGGTACTCCCCTCTCGCCCGAATCGTCAAGCTAAACTACGGACAAGACGGCCAAAAAGAGCAATTTGTCTCAAGGATATTACCGACCGGTTCTTGTGGCTAGCTTGCGCCAATTTGTACCAAAACAAGCGGAATATTGAAGTTATATGATGTTATGCTTGACCAAAAACATGATGAATTTTTGAGTTGCCGAGATTTTTGCCGATAAATACTCTTTATAATTCAAGCATTCGACTCCATATTTTTTTAAACCAACTTACGGAGATTGAGCGAGCATGTTTTGGCGCCCCACAAGGGACAGATCATCAGCAGCAGGTCCGATTTGAGTCACAGAGAAGAACTTGGCATCATTTGGAAAAAATCAGTCTACCTGCAGACTTCGCAGAGACCGAGAGAGCTATCGTTACTTTCGCTCTGTTTTCTGATTTATTTTTTGCCCAGTAGCGTCACATTGACTTCGGAATTCACATTAACGTCACATAGACTTCGGAGGCGGAGACGCAATCGCTAACATCCTCAAAAACACTATGCTATCCGGACCAAGAGTATGTGGGGGAATTTTTGTAGTACTGTTGGCCGAAGTTGTCGTGTAAGACCGGTGACCGCCCAATCTCCAATCAAAACTGTAAGAAGTTTCCAAAACTTTTAAAACTCTCCATTCGTGCTATAAATTTATATACGATGTCATGTATGTTCAAAGTTTTTCCGCAAGCTAGCACCCGGTAATTTTTCTCAATACCCAAAATTTTTGGACAGTTCTGTTGAACTGAAATATCTTACAGTCGTTACATAGACAGTTTACTTGACATTTTTTCTCGATGCCAAAAACTTTTGGATAAATGTGAACGGAATATTTATCCGTGAAATCGGATCATAGACAAGAGGTACTGGACTAGTTTTTGGGTTGGCTTACGACTCGAAGCTGCTGACCAACATTTTCCGAAAAGGTAAAAATTTTGGGAAAAAAGTAAAAAAAATTGCCAAAAAATCCCCAAACGTCCCCAGAACTCTGCGAAACTGTGCTGTAAAAAGGACACCATTATTTTGGTAAGTGGTCTGATAGCGAAAAATTAGGCAAATTAAGTTGAGTTTTTTCATCCTCAGGTTTTTTTCCGCGTGTGTTGTTGGAACTTAACCAATTTGCCTGATGCCCCACCCACCATTGGTGAAACTGAAAGCCAGTTCGCTTCAAGTAAATCAAAGCCGTTTCAGCCCGTCCGGTTATTGACTTCGTTGCGTGACAGTATTGTTAAGGGGCCAGGTACGGTGATATTAAGTGAGTTAAATTGAATTCTTTCATCCTCAGGTTTACTCCGTGTGTGTTGTTGGAGTTTAACCGACCTACTTAATTTTCCAACCCCATTGGTACTTAAGCGTAACGTAGCCATGGCATAGGTCGCTTAAGTGTATGGTATTCATTCTAGGAGCTAGTTCCTTAGATCACACGCTTCGAAAACTTCCCGCTTCGTCCCAGAAGCGCGTCAAAGATAGTTGCTTTACAAAGCCAGGTTTGAGCTTGAACTAAAACAATACAGTACTACCTTCATCACTACTTGTCTCACCGTAACGACCTTGTAATTTGGCACGACGCCATTAATAACTCGATAAGTAGGCACCTCAGAAACAATAACCGCAAGCTGAGTAGTGAGCATTTTGTCAATTTGTTATTAAGGTATAGAACAAATAATTCTGCGATCGTATACTGTAGACGGAACGGGACCGAGGATCTAGAGCAAAGTTTAGTTTCAACAGGTATTCTCGTTCTGAACGTTGTCAAAGACTTTATCTCTAAGCGTAAGGCTAAGAAGGACCAGGTACTAATTGAGAAAAACAAAGAGCTTCATCAGCCTCCTTCCCTTGAGTTAAAGACTCTCCTCATTCTAAGGCGTTATAGCGCTAATCGTAACATCCTTAAGACTCGGAAGAAGCGGAACCGCTTACCACTCAAAGCTCGGAAAGCTATAAAAAATTAGCTTCAGGCAGAAGCTTTGAGACGTCAAGTTCCCCCATCTTGTAACTAATGTTGACATATTAATGCAAATTTAATACGTACCAAACAGTATCTCATTTTTTTGATTGTTTTCTATTAGTGAGCATCCATAGAATATTGTCAATTTGTGAAAAACATGGACGAAAAATTCCAAAGTAAGATACGCAAGTTATTTGAAACCTGTCTAAATTTAGAAAATGAGCTGCTTAAAGGTCACTCATTATTACTTGAGTACATTGAGAATAATAGTCGCACTACAAAAATTGATAATGCTGTTTACAAATGTAAAATTGCGTTGGAAAAAGCTGTCGACGTCAATGAGCAATTAATTAGGTTAGCGGGAAAAACGGAAAATCCTGAAAAAATTATTGCTCAGCAAGACCTTTGGCTTAAGAAAGTAACCGAAATGAACGATAAAGTTATGCATGAAGCTCAGAGTTACAAGATGAGCCTTCAACCTTCGTCATTCCCACCACCCGGCATTACAGGGAGCAAGGGATCTCTACAACAAAATAGGTCTGAGACATATTCACTCTTGCACGAAACAAGAGATTCGGAAGCACGAGTATCTGAAAACAGGTCTAAGGTCTCTAATAAGTCTAAGGAAAGTAGAAAACGTGAGTCACATAAGTCTGATAAATCTGCTTCCACTCGTAATACCTCGACTGTTCACACTATGTCGAGTGAGAAACGACATGAGTTAACTTTGGTAAAACGGCGCCACGAGGAGCTGGATGGGCAGTATCAGGTATCTATAAGACTTAAAGAGCAAGAGAACCGTCTTAAGTTCGAACAAAGTCAGCTGGAGCTAGAGCAATTGGCTGACAGGTCATAAAAAGCAACTGATTGAAATGGAAATGAAAGCGTTTGGATTTGAGGACAGTTCATCTGAGGTTAGCGAGAAGGTAGCGGAAAATAACTCGAAAGGAGTAAGTCAACCTATTTCAAAAGTAGCAACCGATCGAACTAATGATTAGGTAGACTCTGTTAGTTCACAGGCACCTCTTGACGTTATTAGTGCGCCAGGTTTGCTGGCCTTCACTCCTGTACCCATTTCGTCCGGACCGACGATTTTCGCCATTCTCGCTCAAGCAATTCACACTAGTAATAGTCATAACCATGAGCACACAGCATTGAGTGACCCTGGAATCTATAGTTAAGGACATCGGGCTATGCCTCAATTTGGCAGTGCAAGCCTTTTGCCCATGCAAGCTTCTGTTCCATCTGTTTCATTCCCAGTTAGCAATATGCATTCTAGTGCACAAGTGTTACCACCACCGTTTGCTGTTCCTTTACAGACCATGAGTTCAAACATAACTAATGCCATCGGGCAGCCGGAATCATTACCTGTCCCAATGTTACCGGCACAACCCGGTTCTGGTTTTGTTTCTTTGTCACCTGCATTTGCTGGTGGTGGCTTCTCATCTTCTGGAGTAGACCCATCGCCGGTTTTCTTTTCGGCACCTAATTGCTATGCAGCGACAGTTCAGACGCAACATATTTTCGTACCGCATACTGTGTCACCTAATATCAACGATTACTACACAAGTGATGCAAACTTATGGCGATTGGCAGCTACAACTCCAATCGTCACGCCTGCTCAGTGTTGTAATGCCGGAAACATTTTTTCTAATGTGACAACTGTTGTCCCACCGTTTA